AGCCTTCGTAGAGTAAAGTCAAACGTGTGGTTATAACTCTGTATTCACTGTAGAGGAATAGGACTGCATTTACTAAAAGAAAACCTTAGACGAAATCTCTTGTGGTGTTTCCATAATCTTGGTGCCAAGTTCTGTGTTTTTGTGAGTGTAAACATCATTTCAGAGAGCTGAAAAGTTTAGTGCCATTAGGGACTGTGTGAACATTATTGGGTTGATAAGGGGGCCTTTGTAGAAATACACACAAAAAAAAGACCTTCTACATCAAAGCCCTTGTAAGTGTAAATCATACTCTTAGAAAAACAAGAAAGCATCAGAGTTTTTGTTTGGAGAAGACTTCTCTTTAATTATGAAATGAAAACTTTCAAGCTAGCTTCAGATTAAAGAGTTGGCACACAAAAAAAGACAAAATTGAGTTAATTAGGACATCCGTCAATAAATATCAGGCACAATAATGTGTCATAGTTGGCAAAAACTGAGAAAAAGACCAGCATATTTTTTGGGTGACAGATGGAATTTGGTTGGTAATTACCCTGTAGATTGTCATATGTTTTGGCCCGGTTATAGCTGGTCCATAATCTCCTAATGAAACACAGTGAACATCTTATCCGAGAAAAATATTGTTTCACTGAGGGTGTGACTTAATCAGATTTTATTGGCAGTGGAATAGCAACAAAAAGGTCAAACAAACAGCTTTTGATGGCTGTGTTGCTAAATCCTGACAAGTAAACACACCATAACAACTTGCCAACCACTCCATACTTTACAGGAAGGTCAAAAAAGTACAACAAAGACTATATAATCTCTTAATATGTGGGTATTCATGTACAATCTCAATTTTGAAAAAGTTTAGACGCTGGGTAAAATGTGAATAAAAATAGAATGCAGTGATTTGCGAATCTCATAAAGCATTTGTTATTCACAAAAGAACAAAGAAAATGCATCAAATTCTTATACGTTTTACGTTTTCATGAAAAATATTAACTCCCTTTGAAATTGATGGCAGCAGCACATCTCAAAAAAGCTGAGATGGAGCCCACAAAAGACTGGAAAGTAAGTGGTGCTACAAAGGAAATCAGTATTGGATGCCTGTGATGTTCAGGCCCTCAGACAGCACTGCCTTAAACAACATGATTCTGCCATGGATATCACTGCATGAGCCCAGGAACAGTTCAGAAATCACTGTTCACTGTGCCAGAGGTTAAAGCTCTGTGATGCAAACAAGAAGCCATATGTGAACATGATCCAGAAATGCTGCCATCTTTAAAATGGACTGAAGTATAGTAGAAAATCTGGTGTGTAGAATTATGGATGCTGAATCCTCCAGACTAAAGAAGCTTGTCATAGCAGCGCTCGGTTTAAAAGCCTTTCATAAATTCAGTATGGGTAAGCTGGTGTGGGGGTGCATTAGTGCCTGAGGAACTGGCACCCAGTGCTAAAAGGTATATACAGCAACACGTTCTCCCATGCAGAAGACATTTTTCAGTGAAGGCCTTGCATATTTCAACAAGACAATGCTAAGCTACTTACTGCATCTATTGCAGCAGCATGACTTCCAATAGAAGAGTCCAAGTCTGGCAGTAGACCAAACCTTTCACCATTAAAAAAAATTTGATGCACCATAAAGTGAAAAATACGACAAAGAAGATCCCGGACTGTTGAGCAGCTAGAATCCAGTATCAGACAAGAATGGGGCAACGTTCCTCTCCCAAAAGTCCAGAAGTTACTCTCCTCAGTTCCAACAGGTTTACTGGCTGCTGTGATGCTACACAGTAGTAAATGTGTCCCTGTCCCAACATTTTTTGAGATGTGTTGCTGCAATCGAATTTAAAATGAGCTACGTTTCTCTTGAAATGCTACCTTTTTTTCAGTTTAAACATCTGATGTTTTCTGTGTTCTACTGTCAATAAAATATGGGTTTGTGAGACTTGCAGATCATTACATTTGAGCACCTCATCATCCACACTATAAAAGCTAATAGATAGCTAATAATAGATGCTTTCAAAGGCCTTTAATCTTTTATTTTAATACAGAGTATTTATATATAAGCCCATATTATTAATGATAACAACAAGGATGGAAGAAAAATAAATTATGAGGCTTCTTCACACCTAATATGTTTCCTACAGTCCCTTAAAATGTTAAGACACACCTCTGCTCACAATAAGTGACAGATGTCATGTTCCTAGGATTGTTGTTGTTGTGTGTTTCTGAGTGTGTTGATATTTATTATGACATAGTGTAAAATTCTGAGCTTAGATCTGTGCCCATATAAGATTCAAACTTACCTGCATTTTAGAACTAAATTCTCCTATTCCGTGTCAGGGAATTACCACGAACTTCTTATGGATTTGTGACCGAGGGTTTGACTGTCTTGTTTTTAATTTTGTTCACACAAAAGCTGAGAAATGACAGCATGTTGAATCCCTTTTCCCACAGTCGACAGGCTGAATAGACTTTGTGTTTGTATAATGTGTTGACAGCTGTTTGTTGTAGTGGACGAGGTAGATGTACGTTCTGTCGGGGTGGTGCCTGCTATTGTGTGCAAAAATGTTACTGCTCATTTTAAGTATTTCAGCTGTCTTCAGTGCAGCCAGCAGTTATTGCACTTCTGTCTTTGTGTGTTTGTTCACTGTGTATGCATAGTACATGTAATCAGTATTAAAAACAAAACAAAACAAAAAACCTAAATCATTTAAGCACAGGTTAGGATATGTGGACTATTCACACTGAGACTGAAGCACAATGTAAATGCACTTAGGTGTTGTCGAGTAATAAAGGTGTTGGACATGCTCGTGACTCTCCACATAAGTATCGAACACATCTAAAGTACTCTGTGGTGCAATATGTAGTGGTCGTATCTATCTTTAGACTCTGGGTTTGTTGTGTATCGTTAAGGAACTGTTATGCCAGTAGAGAAATGTCCCTGTTATGATATCTAGTTGCTCAGATTGTTGTGTTATTGTGATAATAAATCTAACACAACCTCTCTTTGTCTGGAGTCTTTTCCTTTGTGGTCAGACTTCCACTATATCATTTTTTAAAAGCTGCATTAAACCTTCAGAGTAATAACCTGTTTGACACTTATCATTCTGTACCAATATTAAACCGTGTGAACGCCTGTTTATTTCCCTTTAATTCCTTACATTTGTAAGGAAAATGCATTTTGGGGTTGAGCAGCAGAGTTGAGTATGTGGGTTGCACCCATTAAAACCTGGTAAATCTGCTTTGCCAATGCAAAACAACTGATTCATTGACCAAAACAACCACACTGACTGACAAATGATGGTTAAAGAATGGGACCCCATCCCACAGCAGTGTGTGACCAAGTGGTTGACCAGCATGATGGGGAGGTGCCAGGCGACTGTGGCTCTACATGCCAAGGCCCCTGTCGTTAAATGAATACATTTTTAAATTGCTGATATGTCTAGTTTCATTAGACCTCAATCATTCAATCCAATAAACGGCACCAAACAAGTGTCAATAGCAGAATATATTTTTCTTCAGCGCAACCTACATGCTCAACTCTGCTGCTCAACCCACAAATGCATTTTCCTTACAAATGTGCCACCATTTAAGGGGAAATAGACCTTCCAGTGCTTTAAGATTTCTTGCCAAGAAGTATTGTTACAACAAAGAAATGCAAAAAAAAAACCCCACACTGTCCTTACTTTTTGTGCCACATTTAGAATAATAATATTCTTGTGCTTCATTATGAGTTATTAGTATAATTAGGCAGATTGGTGTATGGTGGTGAAGGTCCTGGGTTCAAATCCACCAGGTGGCTGTGGTCTTTCTGTGTAGAGTTTGGGTTTTCCATCAGGCCAACTATGCAGCTACTTTCATCTTCCCCCTTATTCACCAGGGGATGCCACAGTGGCAGCTCTGCATGTTTGATTGGGCAGATTTTTACGCCGGATACTCAGATTCCTCCAGGAATTGGAACTTCCCCTTGTTAGTAAAATGTGTAAACCACTACTCTATGGATCTTCTGCATGTGAGGTCAACTGGTAATTCTAAATTGAATGGCAACCCATCCCAGGACGCATCTCATTTGCCGAATGACATTTGGCTGGAGCCCCACACAACTTTAACCTGTGTAAATGTGGTTAAGAAAAAGGGTGGATGGATCATATAATTAGAAAAATGTCCTGAAGGATGCTACATCCTTACTCTAGGTTATGTTTTGGCACATTATTAAGATGAGGACCTATAATCAGTCTTGTGAGAGCTGATGGGTGTGTCTATAGGATTTACGTTTTATATGAATAATTCATACTTTTCCAGGAGCACATTACCAATTTTCACAGTATTTTGGTAAGACCACCCTCAATTATAATGCTGCATTTTAAAGGATGTAATTCTAATCATTACCTTATTAATGCTGAAGACACAAAACTGGCCAACACACTCTTTTCCTGCCGTGTGCTGCACTCACCCAGCAGCTATACATTACAAAGAAAAAGCCTTTAATCAGATTTTAATCACTTGATATAAGCATTTGAGGATTTAGCAGTTTAAGACTCAATTTAGATATAGAATGAAGGCGTTTTATATAACAAGTCACCTTTTCCTTTTTTTTGTTGCTGTTTGGCACACTTGTCACACTAAAAATGACCTTTATCTCTTTATGCACCGAATAGTTAGAAATCGTAAGATCCTCCAGCATCACTGCAGTTTCTAGGTGTGGTGGAGCACGGTGCGTCACAGCTCAACCTTGTTTGTTCCTTGTCTGACTCACCCCAGCTTTCAGTGCATTAATGCAGTTAGGCAGTTGCAAATGGTACAGTGAGGTTTATGACTGGCTACCATCACAGTCAGCAGCCCCAGTGTTCAGAAACTCTCGAATCTCTGCCTTCGGTGGCTGTTTACGACCCATTACTAAGACAACTGATGACTCAGTCCCTGTGTTGCGCAAGTAGCCCTTCAAGCTTATGCAGGCTTAGCGTGGACAGATATCAGACATGGAAAATTCTTTAAAAGAAAAAAAAGGGGGGACAAAATTCTGAGAGAAGTTAATTTTCTTTTTTATTAAAAAAAACAAAACACAATTAAAACATTATAAAAAACACATTAAGCTTATTCAACCTATGGGAGAACGTTGTCTTTGTTGACTAATCTGATGCTTTGAGGCAAGACTAAGCGTCATCTACTGTATCAAAATACTGTATCAAAATAAGAATAGTCTTCCCACACTGAGCCATAGGAATTCCAAGACACCAGTTAATGCTGCTGCTCAGCACACCTGATTTTAGACGCCGATTTGTGTTTCGTCTCTCAGAATCTGTCACTAACCGAGCTTTACAATAACTTCGGAGGCCTGCCTCTCTCCTCAGTGACGGAGGGGTGAGAAGGTGTGTCTGAATCATAGCATCCAGTGTTGATATGAGAATGTAGGTCATGTAGGGAGACAGTGATTGTATAGAGTGATGGAGAAAGCCATCATGTGTGCAGTTGATCTACTATCAAAGTTTGAAACCCATCAGGCTACAAAGAGAAGAAAAGGTCATCCAAGGATGATACTTCTGCTGTTAACCAGAAGAAAGCGCAATCAGATGAGACCTTCAGTTTAATCATGCACAGGTTGAAAAAGATTTCTACTTATATTTATAAACCTAAAAAAATAAAAAATAAAAAGGGGGGGGGGGGAGGCTGAATCGAAAGTGCCGCTGGCACAGTTCAAACATTCTTACACAAAAATGAGGTTTCATCTTATTTCTCTAATATCTTTATTACTCAGCTGCCACATGGAGGAGATAAATGTGCAAATATTTCCTTTTTCCTCATCACTAATAAAGTATGAAATAGATAAAGTAACCCGAGTATAATGCAATGGAAAAATAAATATTTCTGTGGAAGAGAGCTGGCCAGGGCATTCCTTTGCTTTTGCACAGGCTGGGTAGAGAAGGAGCTGCGGAAATAACCATGAATATTTGCAGGTCTGATCACTCAGAGTACAACAGCACTAAAAACAGTGGCTTTGTTACCCCCGAAAGAAAGAATACACCACCTTTACCCTTTAAAAACAGCACCCAACTCTATCTAAATAACAGTGCTGAAGAGAAGACCCAAGCAAGAAGAAGCTGGGGAAAGACATTTCCTTTCACATTCACAGACCAAGGACATTGAAAGGGATATTACTATGGTAATCTATTCTCCGTCTGCTCCCAGGGCGTCAAATACTGCTGTTGTGTCAAAACCACCAGTGTCTCAAAGAAATGCAAAGAGGTGGAGACAGTGTAGTGATTGGTTATAGAAACCAGTCTACCACTCAAATACAAAACAGTTTGGGTCTTATGGACCGCTTGGAGTCGCATTTAAACACAGCAGGTAAACTTTTCTTCTTCAACAAGCAGGTGTAAACAACAATCTTTTTCCTAACCAAGCAGTTTTTGGTGTTCAAATCTCACCAGCAAGTAAAAACTGAAAGAAAACAAAGTGAAATACAATGAAGCACCCAAATGTGACATAACCCCATCTCAAGACAACATCTGTACAAAGCCAAGAACAACAGCAGTATTTTATGCCCTGGGGTAAGAGCGTGTTGCCATTTTATTTTACCCACTTCTTCCTAATATTGCTAGTCCTCAGTTGAGGAGAGCACAATCAGATGGAAGTCTGTGCTGCAAACGAGAAAGGTTGACATCAGATACCTTAAGTGATTCTGCACCTGTGGCTGTGACCACTACCACAACAGTTTTGATTTACTAAGTGAAAAAGAAATAAAATTAAACAAAACAAAACTACAGATGAGCACCATTTTTTTGGCATCTCCACATCCTTCTTTGGCGACCAGGAGCAAGAAAGGTTGCTGGAGGGAAGAAGGGGAATTTATATAGTGTTTAAAGTTCTGGACGTGAAACCACAGGATGAGGAGGAAGAAGACCAGAGCCATGTCGTAAGGGCTCTTCCAGAGAAGCAGTAAGGCCGAGGTGAGTTAATCCAGTTGGAGAGGGTCCGTGTTGAACAGAAGCTCTGTTGACCAGGGAAGAAAAAAAATCCGTGGCAACATTTTATGAGCACCGGCTATCAGTTTGAGAGTCATAATCAGTCTTTAGATAAAAAGAGAAATCATATTTATATATTATATATACACACACACAAATTTGTATAAAAAGAAAAAGAATAATCCCTGATGTGTTACTCATGTTTTACAGTTCTTTCATTGAGGTTTGGAAAAAAGGGGATGGGTGAGGGGCGACGTGTCAGTGACTCCAGCCCATAAGGTGGCTGACACGAGCTTTCTCAGTCATACGGCGTACCCGTCCTGAGCGGGACATGCCCAGGTTTAGAGGGTCGTCTTTCGACCCATGGCCATCATCCTCCGAGTCGTCTCCGTATCGAACTGTCCTGCGGCCCTGGTTTCGTGTGTTGACCCGCCGAGACTTACACTGGCTGCCTCTCTGGCTGCTAGCTGCTGCTGGAGCTGCTGCTGCTCGTGTCTGCACCTCAGAGTTGTTATCATCCTCGTCCTCTGGCTCCTCCTCTTCCTCTTCTTCCTCCTCTTCTTCTTCTTCCTCCTCTTCTTCTTCTTCTTCCTCCTCTTCTTCCTCCTCATGTTTTAAATCCACCTGTTGCTGCTGCTCCTTCTCTTCCTCTTCCTCCTCCTCCTCCTCTTCTTCTTCTTCCTCATCCTCCTCTGCCTCTTCCTCCTCCTCCTCCTCATCCTGCTGCTCCTCTACCTCAAGCTGCAGTCGTGCTCGTTTAGGTCCCTGTGCCTCTGTGTCCTCTCCTCCTTTGTGTCTCCTCTTTTCTGAGGCTGCCACCTTACCCTTAGCTGAGAGGCGTACTGACAGGCAGGGGGCTTTGCTGTAGTCGTGATCTCCTCCTCCCTCCACGTACTTTTCCACCTCAGAGTCAGAGCTGTTGTCGCTGTCCGACGATGAGGAGGAGGAGGAGGATGATGATGATGATGATGATGACGACGAGGTGGAGGACGACTCCAACGAGGAGCTGTTGGATCCTGACGCCTCCTCTTCATCGTCGGACTGCGACGTTTCTCGCAAGTGCCGTTGTCTGGAGCCGTTACTTAGGTGCAAGTTATTCTGGTGACCTGATGGAAAACAAGAGGGCGGCGGGTCACTTCTGCACCGTAACTTTGCAGAAACACTGAAAAGGGAAAACGTGCATGCTTTTTAGTTACTGCTCGCAATACCTGATTTCTTCACGGGAGTTGCTTGGCTGCGGGTCACCCGATGTGGTCCTTGATTTCTGCTCCTGACACTCGTCCCTGAAGTTGGGGAAGAAGGCTGGACGTCCTCTTCCTCTGCTACATTACCGCTTTGCTGAGCTAAAGAAAAAAAATAGACACAATGCAATTATCCATCAGAAAAGCTGAGAGTACAGAAGCAACTAATCACATTAGAAGATACTAGAAGCTTTTAGCAGGGGTGAATGTATGTAAGTCAGGTAACACCATCAAAAATAATGCAGAGAGCCTGAATGTCATTTGTTATATTCACCATTTTGTTGGGATGCTAACCTCGATATTAGCTAACTAACACTAAACAAAGTAGAGCCAAATGGACAAATTGAAATGGTGACCTGTTTTATAAGTGGGAAAATATACTTTGTTTGCCATTCCTACCATTTCTCTTCAGTTTCTCTGAAAACAGATTTTTTTGTCTTTTGTTTGGTAGCGTTTTCATATTTTCCTTTTTTCATGTCCCCAAGCTTTCAAAACTCCTTGATTAACATGGATATTTCATTAATTCTTCCATCCTGGTTTATTTTCCATGATTTGCTGACCTGCTACAGATTTAGTGACGATATAAATAGATAAATACTGGCTTGTAGCATGTTCCTAAAACTAAAAGCCAAGTTTACACAAAACCTTAGATTGATCAGTATCCACACAGCGTCACCACCACATGCTAAAGGTGGGAAAAGTTGCCTGCATCACTCAGGCGGGAGATTTTATTGGCTGACTGACACCTCTAGGCTTGCATGGCCATGCTGAGTACGGCTTTCCCCTTACAGTTGATGTTTGCTGGACAAAGATTTGGGGCAGAACCACTCACTGTTTGTTTGCAGTTTGTTCAATAAACTAAATTTTCCAGACATTTCTAAAAGACGGGATTCTCAATATGCATCTTTGGTCAACTTTTCTTGCGCTGTGTCGCGTGTTACCTCTGTTGAGATGTGCCTGTAGTAATCGTTACAGTTTTATGATGCAGAATTTGATTTAAAATGACAATTTTTAACTCTCTTAATTGGGGGAAACAAACTTTCTAGCAGAAACGGAAATTGTTTTTAGCATAGCATAACTAACAGCAAACAGTCACCACTTCCAACAACAGTAAAAAGTGATGCAAGATAAAGAAAAGAGGGCAGAATCTGCTGTTTGGAGCATTTTTGGCCTTGGGGGAAAAAAAGAAGCAAAGGAGAGAATTGCTTTTTGCGTCACATCAACTTTTGCTTAATGCGTTACTCAAGACTAACTGACGTCTTTCCAAATGAATAATTTGTGCCACAAAGTTTGGAAGGAAAGGTGTAAACAGAGTTTGTTTCAAAGCTGCACTTCCCAGCTCTGCTGCAGGAAACATCAACAGTAAGAAGCCTTATATTGACTTCAGTGTCATTACACGTGACCTCAGAGTGGAACAGGCAGCTCCTTGTTCCACACATGCCAGTTTTGTTGAAAGATTATTTTTTGTTTCAGTTGTGTAATTTTTTTAGTTTATCAAGACATATATGTTTCTACATCCTATCCAGTCCTGAAGAACGAGTCACTGTAAAGCTATGTGAAGACACAATTATGAAATAAAATGTGTGTTATTATAATTATTATTTTTTAAAGGTGATGCGTCATGAAACTGCAAGGCTTCTAAAATACTGGTATATAAATGTTCAGTCATACTGCCCCTGCTATTATATAATAAGTTGTTTAAATAAAAGTGTTTATTGACACTTTTAATGAGCCATCTGTAAAAGCTGAAAAAAAGAAAAATGACACTGATGTTACGCTTTGATTCACAGGAAACAAACATCTGTTAAGTTTTGATACAAACAACCTCTGCAGCTTTTCATTGGATTAAAACCAAACTGAGGTCATTCTGGTTTTTGAAGAGTAAGAACTATTACTTTAACCAACTCTAAGAGCAGCTCACTGCACGAGTCTACGCAGCAGAAGGATCTATAAAGCACAGAAAGCCACAACAGTGCAGACGTACCTTTATGTGATCTCTGAGAACGATTCTTTGTTGAGGTTTGGGATTTTTTTGGCTTTGATGCCTTCCCTGACTTGTGCTTTCCTTTTGAGCTGGGCAGGAGAGGGGAACAAGAAAGAAGCAACAGTTCAGAATTATTGTTAACAACTAGGGATGGGTATCGAAAACCGGTTCTTGTTGAGAACCGGTTCCCACTGTTTCAATTCCTTGGAATTGTTTGCCATTTTTGCAAACGATTCCCTTATCGATTCCAGTCGCCCCGAATGACGTCACCACGTTGCGGAGCGTCATTTACCTGGCAGGAAACACGGCGCGTAAGCGGCTCAAACGCTCAAAAGTTTGGTTATACTTTACGAGAACGGATGACAACAGGGCAGCTTGCAATACTTGCAAAGTAGATACTTCATCTAAGGGAGGAAACACTACGAATATGCAAAAGCATTTGCTCACAAAACACGCGATGACCTTAAATGAATGTCATGTTTTGAATTCCGCTCCGGACTCGTGAATCTCAACCCAGCAGCAGTGGTAACGTTTGCACGTCCTCTCCCGTTAATGCGGCAGGTAAATAATCAACTAACAGTTCATATTATGTTAGCGCGATCTGCCTTATTACAAACCCTGCCATTACTGTGCATTTAGGTGACCATGATGAGAGAGACAGACAGAGTCTGGCTCAGATGCTGGCAGTTCTCCCTGCAGTCTACCGGTAGCGTCTCCTTTCAGGCCAGGATAGACGAATGTCACCGAGCAGTGACGAAGTTTGTGGTCAGATGTTTGCACCCATTTGCCACAGCAGATGCCCCCGATTTTAGGTAAGTGAATGTGTTTAATTGTAGGCAGGGACATTACTGGATATTCTTGTGTAATTGCTACTGAATAATTTATGTTATACTTTGTTATTGCTACAGAAGAATATTTATTTTATTATTTTACATTTACAATTTTTTTTTTCCTGGGGACCCTGTGACACCCATTGAAGAGCCGTAGGCTGTGGATCTCTTAAGATCTCACTGTTGGGTTTGTAAGGCCATGTTACTCCTAAATTTCTATCTTGTTCAAAGAGAAGATATAAAACAAAGTTCTAAGCTAATCGACCTTAGTGTTCTCCTTTTTAAAAAAAAAAAGGAATCGATAAAGAATCAAATCGTTAAACAGAATCGAAAATGGAATTGGAATCGTGAAAATCTTATCAATACCCATCCCTATTAACAACACAATAATAAATATAAACAACGACAGGGTGCCTGCAACTTTCAGCAGTTTCTGGAATCGTTTTTCCAACCACGACACCTTGAAATGATATTAAAGAGAAAACATTTCTTTATTTCAGTACGGCACTTCTGAGATGCTTTCAGAAGCTGCAGACACTTTGACGGACCCGAGTGAAAAATATAATCTGATAACACGGTGCGTCTAGGTTTGTGAATGTGGCCGGGTACCTGTGGGATGGACTATTAGGTGGCGAGCTGCCTCCGTTGTGCAATCTGTTCCTGTAAGTGAGATGTTGACGAGCCCGCCGTTCGTTCTGAATGGCAGACTTGTAGTCAGAAATGATGGAGATGATGTGTTTTTCAAAGAAGGCCGACAAGCTGAGGGTCATGGTATAGATCTAGAAATAAAAGAACGCGATACGTAAACACTAAACCAAAGCTTTCTCAGACTGCACCTATAACAACAGCATTTTTACAGAATGTTTTATTTCTCAGTGAACTACTCACCTGTGACTTCTTGTTAGGAGTGTATGCTTTAGAGTTGCTGAAAATGAGGCGGATGTCTTTGGAAAACTCCATGGGATTTTCATAATTTCCTACTGCCAGGGTCTCTGACACTGTACCCAGATCCATGGGAGTGTCAATGATGTCTCGATAGTCCTGAACGAAAAAAGAGTGCAGAAACGCTGAAGAACACAGTGCTTCACCTGAATGCAACTTCAGTTTTACACTTGCAGCATGCACTGCAAATGCTACTTTAAGCTGTAAAAAGTGTCTGGCATGTGTGGTTTTATTTCAAATGGAGGTTTATCCTGATTGTTTTACCGGATATTCAAAGAGATCCACAGGCTGCCTGAAAGGTTCGGAATTCGTGGAAGCTGTCATTCGACGCAACAGCTCTCGACATTGACCTCGCCAGGCTTTCGGATCCAGAACCACACCACGCTTCTTAGAATTTGCAGTGCCTCCCTGGCAGAGACAAAATGAAAGTCACTGAGATTGGGACAACAGCTGGGAGGTTAAAAATCCTGTCAAATATCAACTGCTGCCTTACCCGGTGTCCTGTAGATGTTCCTGGAGTGTCTGAATCTACGTCCAAGTCAACCTGCAAAAAAAAAAAAACCCAAAAAAAACCACATAAAAATCCATGTTTCCATTTGCTTTTTGGGACATGTGAATGTAATGCAGTGATCTCCAGCTGGGATAGCCTATGTTTCCTTTTCATTTCCAAATCAAACAAGAAACAAAGGCAACGTCTACATCAGGTCATTAATGGATTACTGGATAACAAATACAGTTGGCTTCCTAAGCTAATCTCTAGTGCAATGGTTCAAATCACATCCTAAAATAAAGTAAGTAATTTTGTAGGAAACATGAAACATTAAAGACCTTATTTTCTTTTCTACTGACTTTTTCAGTGATCTGCAGGAATCCTATAGTCAGTCTAATAATACAAACCACACAAACGCAAAAACACTTGTGCAACACCCACCTCAGCTTCACTGCTGACTTCAGACTTCAGTTTACGATACAGATCCAAGACATCGATGCAACTTTGGTCCCTGAATGAGGCAGCGGGATCAAGGCATCAGAAATGTTTGTTTTCATCATGGTCACTCCACTGTTAAAGCATCGGTAAATTTAACACAGCAGAAACTCTGTCAAGTCTTACCCGATATAATGAAGGAGAACATCAGTCACCACCTTGGCAGCTGCTACAATGGGGCTTTGAGGTTCATTGAAAGTGCGGGCATTGTGTTCGATGTAACGCACCTCCCACATTAATGCAGAGATCCGCCTGGAGCAGAGGAACGCATCAGTGGTTGAAACTCAGACGTTAACACACCAGGACTTTGAACTCATAGAGAAGGTTTATGAGTGCATGATGCTTCACCTGTAAAAGCGATTCTCCAGACGTGTGCGGATGGAGCTGAGGTCAGTGGGGTAAGCCACTACGGTGCAGTACAGAGGGTAGTCCTGCAAATTTACCGGTAATGCGAACGCCTTGGCTACATCTGGGGAACAAACACAAATAAAATCAAACCTAGCAAAGGTCAGGAAAACAAGGTCAGATTGTACTTTACCGCAAAGCTTCATCAATCCTTTTGGGAGGCATACCCAGTGTCAGAAGCTGATCGATGCCATGAATGACTCGCTCACATTCTTCATCTCGTGTATGAGCCCCCCATTCACCTTCCTGAGGCTCATAGAGTAGAGCTTTCAGCTCCTCTTCTGCCACCTCTACACCATCACCAACCTGCTCTGGCAAAGCAGCTGATGGAGCCACAAAAGTGTTAGAACATTAAACAGCAGTTAGTAACCAAGAAAAAAAAGGAGAGAAGTAAAATACTTTTTTTTTGGTAGTTAAAAGTTACACTGCAGGCTATAAAGAATTCTCTGGGTTAAAATTAATGGAATAGAGTTCAATAAAAACACAAACATTGTTTCTATGGTTTCTATGGTTATTCCAATAAGGACACGGAAATGAAGGGCAGACAATGTTTTTGTTGTTGGTTTCTACCCCGCTGTTAGATGAATGAGATCAAATGTGTTTCTTTTCAATAGAAATGCCATAATGTGCAGTATTTCACTTTTATTGGGTACGATTATGTTTGACTTTTTTCTGCGTCTTTTATCTTCTGTAACAGAGCGCCATATTTCAAAATAATACACACATTTCAATAAATATTACTGACCTTCCTCAGGAATAGGCTCCATATCCCAGGGACTCATTTTCTCCCGCTCACCGTTATCCCATCTGATGAAACAAATGTGATAATATGCCACTAGATCATGCTGCGTATGAGATTAGAGATGCTTATCTGATTTTACTGTGGAGAAGGTGACATGAAGCCAGCAAAAAATAAATTAAAAAAATTACAGCGAGCTCTGCTCACACACAGACGTACTTTACTGCGTAGCACTGAAACAGGCTGTCGGGATACTCTGGCTGCAGGGGCTCTTGATCCTCCACAGAGCCGAACCACCAGGCGTCGTCAATGATGCTGCGGAACCTCATGCCTGAACAGAGGATCAAACTAAGGTGACGGACAGTCCTTACAATTTTACGTGAGCAGTAAATACAGGAAGGAGACTGCTGGGGAGTGACTAACCAGGTTGCCAGTTGTGCTCTTTAGCCTCGTTGTAAAACTGCTGCAGTACCAGAAAATCAATGACATCAGGCATGTCATGATACCTGGGAAGTGTGGGAATGAAAAAGTGGTCAAATACATGTGGTCACAGTCGTTTATTACATTGAATATACAAGTATTGCTCATGCTCACTTTAAGGAGAAAGACTCATTGGTCATTTTCCCTGAGACTGGGTCCAAGAACGCCACTTTTAAGCAGCAGAGGGTAGGAGGTCCCACTTCATACTTAATTCCAACCACTTTCACAGATTCCTGATCCTGAGGCGGAAGAAGAGAAAAGGAGGTCAATGCAGCTGTACAAACTCCTGTAAGGAAGGATTACTGTGGCATTCTGTATATTGTGTTTCAAGAGATTCAAGTTGTTTTCATTTACAAAAACAGCAGCAGATTGTGGTGAACTACCAGGGTTGAAGGGGGACTCAGCAGAGAGCTTAGAGGCTTGCTAATTTTTGCTCAGGTCTAAGAGCAGTGCAAAGTGAGTGAGACCACCAGGTTACCGCTTTCAGGTGGTTACAAAAATTGCCTGCCGTTTTCAGACTCTCCAAACAGCTTGGGCACTAATGGAGCATGCCGGGGCCGATACACAGCACTTGCTATTATATAAAACTGTGCCTCACCCTGAGGTTGAGTCTGTTCCACGGCTGCTTCTGAGGGTTGATGCTGTAAGCCTTAGCTCTGCGAACAGCCCGGACGTAAGCCTGATGGCCCTGTTTGAAGTAGATGAGCTGGAGGAGGACAAGAGAATCATGATTTTAAAAAGTGTGATGTAACATGTATTTCCTGTTTGATATTAGGAGCGTCAGTCCTTACTTCATCTCCCATTTGTGGAACAAAAGGAGAGCAGCGGGGGACAGTCTCCATAATCCAAGATGGCGGCAGCCACTCTTCCGCATCAAGTCCACCCAGAGAGGAGGTGGGTTTCTGAGTGTATATGATTTACCACATGTTAAAGTACATACTCGTGCCATGTTGTGTGACAACTAGCAAAATGTGCTTTTACTGTGACTACTGCAGCTGCAGGTGGCTCACTTGTTTGGTCTCCTTGGACTTCTTCTTCCTCTTCTCTTTTTCCCTCGTCCTTGCCTCCTTGGCTTCGTTATCTCCTTCTTCCTCAGAGCTGCTGTAATCTGGAGGCTGTACAGGTCTCCTGGTAGGTCGCTTTGGCGGCTGCAAATTGATCCCAGCATCCGCTGTCCAATCAGAATATTCACTGGAGGAATCGCTGAGAATCAAAGCGGGGTATCGTCAGGCAGGTGATCGGACTATATTTTGAAAATTCTCCTTGATCAGTGTGTTTATTTACCTGGAGCTGCTTTCACTCTGCCACCGAGCATCACCATCTGAAGATGCATCGGTTTGCTCCACCTGTTCTTCTGCCTGCTAACAAAAATACATCCAAAACCTTCAGTATAACACGAATGACTGCTAACAGTTAGCACTTGTTTCTGATTTTATTCCTGTTTACTAAGTGACCTTATAGCACGGTAACTTTACAAATCAAGCAGAACAAGGTGAATCATACTTCTCCATCACTCTCCGAGTCCATCTGGCTGTTAGAGGTACGTCGGTTGCTGGGATTTCTACTCCTGGTTCCAGGACGCCGGATTTGAGCTGACCGGGTTTGATAGGCATGGCGCTTATGAGTTTTCTTCGTGGGCCGCAGGGAGCGCAGGCGTGAAGACAAGAGATCGCTCTACGAAACCCAAAATATCAGGAATGAATCAGCACATGTGCGATTTCTGACGTAACAATAGTGACGCAGAAAATAGCGTACCTTAGGTGCACAGGTTACTGGTTTCTTCTTCCTCTCAGCGTAGTATAGAGAACATTCAATGTCACCTTTGGCTTGTCTGCACTCCTCTGAAACTCTTAAAAATAAATTTAAAAAAGCATTTTGAATTTAAAATTAAAAAAAAGATCTCCTTGCTTTAAAATCAAATCTTTCTATGCAAACCCCTTAAAACTAATCTAATTCCCTTCATCCTCCTCACCTGAATATCCCCTGCAGCACTTCATTGACCACCACTCTGCGGCTCCAGGCCAGCAGGTCCCTCTCGGTGGCCACCTGACTGGGAAGGGCGTTATGCTGCATTTGCCACACCCCATCCACCTGCCCACTTCTGCGAGGTGCAACAACTGGAGAGGAGGGCACCGCCTCTGCGCCTTCACCAGCTGAAAACAAGATTATATTTTTTTTCTTTTAAATATAATTACAGGTTACTGGGGACAAACTCCACTTTTGGAAAAACTTGACAAGAAATGTTTATGTTCAGAGTTTTGCAAAAACAGTAGAATTTCACAAGTATAACCTCAGCCACTGAGAAAGAGCCAAAAATGTTCTCTTCGATTTAATTTGAGTTTATTTATATAGCACCAAATAAAACGAAGCGTCGCCTCAAAGCGCTTTATATTGTACGGTAAAGCCTAGTGGTGCAAGGGATGAAAAATCTCACGGTTCGGATCGGATCACGGTTTTAAGTCACGGATCGGATCGATTTTCGGATCAGCAAAAATAGGGGGGGAAAAAGACAAAAATTCGACTCGCCATTTACTTATAAGTATTTTTAGCCTATTAAAAAACATTCAACTGAAGACTCATTCCACGCACTTATATAAAAACAAATTAAGGTGCAATATGGACATTATGGACCATGCTGGGCATCCTCTGCACACGGCCATAAACAACCAGAGGAGTCTGTTCAGTGACAGGTTGCTTCTCCCAAAGTCAAGGACCAGCAGACTTAAAAACTCCTTTGTCCCACACGCCATCAAACTGTTTAACTCCTTGCTGGAGAGGAGAGGGAGGGGAAACGGGGACAAAAGGAGGGGGGAACAAGTAAGCTGTAGCGCCTTTTCACTGTGCAATAGTTTTTGTTAATATCCAACGGTGTAATAGACTCACAATACTTGAAATGTGCTGTTCCCTTGTATTCTTATTCCTATTTATTCTATTTATTCCTTTTGTATTCTCTGTATTTATATATATGGTGTAAATATGGTATATTTCTGCTCACATTCTGCAACTTCTGTCGGTGCTGTGCTACTGGAAACTGAATTTCCGGGAGGAACCCATCTTAGGGATAAATAAAGTTTCATCTAATCTAATGTAATCTATAGGGCAGTACAGGGCTTTGAATCTACCACTCTGCTGTGATATAACGAGCGGTCACGTGGCTTTGCGTTGCCCTGGAGGTCCACCCATTTGTATTTAGAGCAACAGAAGATGCCTGGGACAGTTCAGCCATAACTTTAAACCTTTCATGCTCATACATGCTTGGAACGATCTTGTCACACTGAAGTGGATGCGCAACGAGATATCATAGCGTGGCTCAAGCACGTTCATCACATCATCATATCTTTAGCCCGGTCGGATTGGGCAGCAAAGGGCTGCTTAAATGCCGCAAACTCCTCTGCTCCGCCACTTGGACCGCTAGCGCCGGCCATAACAACCGCTTAACAGACTGACCACACGCACCATACACATACTTTTTTTTTTTCCTTTTTTGAGTCTTCGGATCACGTGCGTACCGAACCGTGGAGTGGCATCAGTTCGGATTTCGGATCAACCGTGATCCGTTGCACCACTAGTAAAGCACCTGCAATATTGGAGAGAAAACCCCCAAAAATCAGGCGACCACTTGGCAAACAGTGGGAAAATAAAAACTCCCTTTTAACAGGAAGAAACCTTCAGCAGAATCAGGCTCAGGGAGGGGCAGCCATCTGCCGTGGCTGGTTCTGGGAGAGGGGTGGGACACAGGACAAAAGACACTTAAAGTTTTGAGAAAAACTTCAATCATTTTGAGTAAAAAACAACAACAACAAAAAACAAAAAACAAAAAACACACACCTTCTTCCCCTTCTGCCTCCCGCTCTGCATTCTGACGCTCATCTTGTTCATTCTGCAGCTGTCTGATGAGATTGTCCAATGGGCTTTCTCCATTTTCTGCCGTTTGCTGGCCAAGAACCTGCTCAACCAACTCTCCATCATCTAAGTAAAGCAAGGAGAAATCAAGCATCAAATACCATCTGTCACTTCTTCTGAATTTTCACCTGTGAATCTGTGCTTACTGTTAGCCATGTATCCCATCTGAGGTATTAGCTGCTCTTCCTTGCAGTTCTCCCGTCCAGGCACCAGGCGCTGGTAGTGAGAAGGATGAGGATTCCCGTCGACATCCACAAGGAAGGGTGGAGGCATGAGGTGTGGCGCCTGTTGCGTCTGCTCATCCAGGACATAGTTATTAGAGTCACGGATAAGAGGGCGATAGTCCGTGTGGAAGAACATCTGGTCGGGAATCTGGAGGGGAACAAGAACAGAGCGCCGCCACAGGGTGACACCGATTCTTATGATTAAAGAACAAAATGTGTAATCACAAATCCACTGTGCTGTCCAAATATTTATTCTAAATGTTCCTTTAAAAGTGAGGAAATGATAGGGGTGATTGTTTTGGGCAAACAAGACTCAGCTAGCAGTTACCTTTTCATATGGTCTGCTGCAGCCAAAACCAAAGATGAGCAAATGGCCGTGTGAGTCAGTGCAGGCAAAATGCTGCCCATCTGCTGAGAACTTGCAGTCAAAAATAGCACCGTGGCCTTGGCCCTCAATCTGCAAACAAACATTTAAAATTGAACTTAAAGCTGGTGAAAAACAAAGCATTGCTGGTAGGTGATGCTCGCTGAGGATCGGTTACCATGTTGAAGAAATTGCGGATCTTGACTCCTTTGGTTAGGTCCCAGATGTAAATGTTGCCATCGTGGCCGGCAGATAACATGATGCGGGAGTCAAATGGATGAGCCTCCAGCACAAACACCTCGTCGTCATGACCCTTGAACAGAGAGACAGCACAGACAATCAAGTAGGCCAATTTGCCATTTTACACCGAATGAGCTGCAGATAATGTCGGCTTCAGCTACTCACAGACAAAATGTGCAGCAGCTGTCCTGTGGATGTGCTCCACACTTTGAGCAGGTAGTTTGACACCGCTGTGATTATGGTGCTGTCAGTGCGGTCCCAGGCAACCATAGTCACCACCAACTTAGCTTTGTCGTCCCCTGTGGCGGCAGTGCTCCTAAAAAGAACATCCCATCGGACGTGAAATATGATAGTGGCAGAAGTGCCATCACTAAACACTACGAGTCTTCCCTCTCTTACCCTGGAAGCCTTGCAGCCATGTCTAAAGTGGTGCTCTTCCACTCCTGCTGCTGGTAATGCCAAATCTTCACCGTACCGTCGCGACTGCCGCTCACGAACCTTAGGCTGGACACACATACGCAGTTATTCTTCGCACACTTGTAAAACACACAAAAAATATTTGAAGTCCCTGCAGATTTGAGCAAGCACACTCACCTGTCACTGTTATTGCTGAACTGGACGACCACGACTTTATCCTAAAAGCACAAAAAGTAGGAAAGAATACAAGTTGTGTGAACGAAGCTTAAAAAGCACAACAGAGCGGACCAAGCAGGATGTAGTGACTAGATGCTGTTTCTTACCGTGTGAGCATCCATCTCAGAAACCTTCATAGGAGACTCAGCACCAAGATAGTAGACCCTGATCATATGATCAGTGCCTCCAGTAGCCATGAACATGCCACCTATTAACAGAAGAACACATTCAGTCTACAACAATGACCCTCACAGTGTTCTGCCATACTGTATATTAGTTAACTTGTAACCATTTCAAATGATGAAATGCTTTTCATTTTGCAAACACACTACCCTATTTTTTTAAACTGCGGGCAGCATTTATTCCGTCACTCAAATGAGATTCTCTTATATGCATCTGTGGAAGTTTGGCCTGGTTAAGTTAATATCTTAAAAGCAACAAAAGTTTACCTAAAATAGGAGATGGAATTGGTTTTCAACAGGAGCCACAAAAGTAAAAATTAAAAAAAAAAATAAGTGCAGTTATTAACTGAGCTGTGTTCAGAGCAGCTGAGATCATGTAACAACAAAATGTTGCCTGGCATGGAGATACACTTACCACTGCTGAAAGATGAAGTGGAGACTTGCACCCCGGGCCGTGAACGCTCCATAAACTTGACTGGATGATCACTGAGGGGAAGGAAAAACAAAAAACAGAACCTGTGGTTATCTTAATGAAAACCACCAAGCAACCACTAAGCATGCCACATTAGACGCCTCAATACTTACTTAAATTTCATGGTGAGCGAATGCCACTTCCAGAAACACACCATGCCGTCTGCACCAGTTGATGCCAGGTACCGAGTTGTTCCTCTAGCTGCTGGACAAAACTGGAGGAGGGAGAGAAGGAAAGTTGGTGTTGGTTAGTCACAGGGAAGGACTGTGCAGCATTTCACATAACAAGCCAGCAGCAGGCCCAGGTCAAGTGCTCAAGATAAGGTGAAAGCATTAAGTAGATGAATTTGCTTTCAAACATTTAATTCCTGTATGATGTAGTCAAGTTTTTAGTTTTATTTGATACTTCAAATGTTGTAAAAGGGCTCTGCACTTTCTTTTAAGTATCACCTGTATGGATGTGATAGACGCAGCATGAGCCTGCAGCACAGTGATGGGCGCACAGGTGCGTAAGCACCACACTCTGATGACTTTGTCACAGCTGGCAGAAGCAATGAGGCTGTTCTCGTGGTTGACAGCCATGTCACAGATCTCTGCTGAGTGACCGCGGAGTGTTGCCAGGAGCCGGCCATCATCTGTGGCCCAGATTTTTACCAAGCAATCATCAGAACCCTAAAAACCAATCCGACAGCAACACATTAATAAGACAGCTCCACTGGAAACCACCTTCAACTGAAGCTCCATGTTGTGTTTTGGAAGAGTTCAGTAGTTATCTTAGATCTGGCACGACAACTGGAAGAACAATCACTAAAATAAAATAGACAGGGATGATGAAATAATAAGAAATTCTTACTCACCGTAAATATTCGACGACCGGTACGGTCAAAGGCCACACAGTAGACTGAAGAAAGGTGGCCAAGGATACGTTTGTGTATCTTCATGTGTTGGTAGGAGGAAGACGGCAGAACCTGGCCAAAACGACCTGTGCCTGTGGCCTGGCGAGCACCCATGATGGACACTTGATGTGAAACACATACGAATAATTAGTAGAAGCAACACACTGACACTGAAAACTTAATACCACGGGTCTAAGTGCTTAGTGGAAATAAAAGGCATAAATGATATATTGTTGTAAAAATGTTTTTAAAAACAGTTTACACACCAACATTAGGAGAACTTCCATTGCTCACTGGAGGTTCTGGTGGACGTCCTCGGTGGAGTGCAGCGACAGCTGAGCCACTACATACCTTGTGGCTACAACCTATGTTAAAAACAGTGAGTTGAAGAATGAATGCCAAAAATAATGCACTATAGCCCCTTTACCATTAGTACCTACTCGGATCGACTCGCCTCAGATTGACTGGTTTTCCATTACAATCGAGTACCACCTCATGTGTGTAGTAGCTGTTACAGGAACATGTCCGAGAGTCCCATGACATAATTAGTATGCAACACGAACACTACAACAAAGGTGGACATCAAGGCAACAATATAGCTGCTGCTCAATCTGTGGCTTTTCATCAGACTTGGGGACCACAGCATTGTTTTAGTTACCATTTCCCTCGTTGCCAGGTTTCAAAATTGGCGATTTAGATTTTCACAAACAAGACACTCTCATGACCCTTTGGGTGACGTCAATAACCTACCAATTGGTGGTATGCAGTCTGATGCACACTTTAGTACCTGCTCAGATCGCTTGGAACCCTGGCCAAGTAGGTACTATTTTAGTACCTGGTACTAGGGCTGGGCCATATTATACCGTTCACGGTAATACCGGTATAATGTTAGGCAACGATAGGAAAATGAAATATCGCGATAGAATATGAGTAAAACACGCATGCGCAGTGCCTTTGTTTTCATACGTACATGGCCGATTGTTGAGTGAAACAGATGAACCAGAATTGGTTTGTAAAAATGGTGCAACTTCAGTGATGTGGAACTGGTTTGGTGTTTGTCTGTCAGATACACGACAAAGCACATTTTTTTGCAGAACATGCAAGCGGCCGTCGGACTAAGATGCCCTTAAATCTGGGAGTAATCTGGGTCCTAAACTCCGTATCCTTCAGGACAAATGAAAACTGCAGCATCACTGAGAGTTAAAAACTGTCTAAATTCTTTCATCTTTAATAAAAACGATCAGCGTTGCTGCTTTACCAGGTGTAACTATGAAGTTTAACTTCCAGGCATCCATGAAAACAAAATGTATTACATTTAACGGAGTTAGAAGCTAGCAGGAAGCTAGCGGAAGTTAGCTCGCTAGTTTCGCTAGTTACCTAAGCATGATATAGCATGTTCTGACTGAGAGATTTCTGAAAAAAAATCAAACGTACAGCTCTGCTATCACTTCCAACATAAATGAAGACAGGAAACTAAACAGCAGTGACGTTTGTAGGGTTACTGAAGTTGGGCTAGCTGGTATATAATCATGTGCTACGTGATCGCTAGCGACACAGCTATGTTAGCATAACATAAACAGTGAAGCTGAAGGACGAACACTAACACTTTTCCACTTATAAAAGTTAACGTTAAGGTTCCTCATGGTTAGAGACAAATGCAATCGCATGGCAGGATGCTGTAAAAGGACCAATCTTCAGTCAGGAGAACAACTGAGATAATCCATCCACAATACGAGGTTAGTCATTAATATACTGCAGCAACATGGGAATAGAGCCGCTGCCAGAGAATTCAACATTAATGAATCAATGGTACAGAAGTGGAGGAAGCAAGAAGAATGAGTTTAATAAAGTTTGATTTATCTGACTGCTAATGTGCCTTATAATCCCGTGCACCTTATGGTCCGAAAAATACGTACTGCACACTGCAGTTTAATGTTGCAAAGCACCTCTTTTTAACTTCAGTGGATATTATACATGGTTATGCTCAGTATATGTCAGCCTATTTCTACTGGAAATGCCTTTTGGTTAAACTTTCAGCAAGGAATTTGCATTTGCACTGTTACATTTTTATAAAGCTTTAATGTACATAAAAACCAGCTTCTTGTTTAAGTGAAAATAAATGATAGGTTGTCTTTTTGCGCTAGTAATGTTGTGGAGTTGTATTTTGTCACGCATCAATTATATCGTCAGTTATATCGTTATTGCAAATTTTCAAATATATATCGTGATAAATATTTTTGGCCATATCGCCCTGCTCTACCTGGTACCAGGTACTAGAACCTAACGGAAAACCCTGAAAGCTGTGGTGAGTTAATCCGAGTAGGTACTAATGAAAAGCACAAAATAAATACATTTAAAAAATCATAGAAAAACAGGAATATGCTCACTTTTGCTGGTGCGAAGCAAGGACTGTCTTCCCAGCCCCAGAAGTGTCTGGACTCCAGGAACACAAGGTGGGATCTCCTTTTCTATAAGTGGGCCTATCCGCTGGCAAATCCTGAGCAAATAGTCTGCAGGAATGTGCTGGTTCAACACCACCTGCACACGTCAGCGATGGTAATTACATATTAATACAACAAATAACAAAACAACACACGATTACATCAGCTGCATTGTTACGGGTGCTAAAATAAACTGTTATGTTAATTTAAACGACTCTAGACAATGGCATAATCCTGAAAAACCAACTGAACTGAATTGATCAGCTAACTGATCACTGAAGAAACGACTATTTTTAAATAACCAACAACAGAACATGGTGAAACAAAATGTTCTGCATGCTGGTTACCACTGCAAATGAGAAAAAACAAAACACGAGCCTCACTTTCTGTAATTTAAGGTGATTATAACATTAACTGACTCATTTTCAATACAGGCAAGAAAGATCCAATCCAAACAGCTCTGCAATCACACATAAGTAGCCTGCAACTGTTTCATTTTCCTCTTCCTGTTTATTGCTGCCTGATATCATAATGTGTGCATGGTTTTGTCATGCAGATAGTTGGAAAACAATCAAGGGAACGGGAGGGAGAGAGAGAGAAAGAGGAGGGAGAGAAAAGCTTGCAGCGAATCAAAAGAGCTTCGTGCTATTCTTCCGGTTCGCTCGCCAACGCAACTGCGATATCATTGGCTCCAAAAGAAGACTGACACGGCGCTGGATCTAGTTCAGCCTATCACTATCGGCTCTTATCTTCATTCTCCGCCCACTAGCCCACACAATAGCATAGCCTGTATATAGTTATTTATCAACAGGCCTGCACTAATATGGATTGTTAAATAGGTTAAAATAAATACAAACATGCTGAAAACACGCCGTTTTGGTTGGTTAAAAGAATTAAAACGTTGACATCCACGGAAAGGTTATTGTCAACCGAAAGCGGAATAAAAAGATCCATATTATTAAAAAGTTATTAATGACTATTCACACTCACCCAATCTTGGAAGTTCCGTTTGTATTTCTTCCCGTCCCAACTCCATCGTTGCGGGACCAACTAAAGTTAAAAGAGACGATATCAGAGAGGACACAAAATTGCGAGGCTCGTCCCGGCAGGGAATCGCGCTCCTTTATTTAGCATCGATCAAAACTACTAAAAAGCTGGCCCCAAAAAGCGTCAAGATGGGCATCACTACGGAAACCGCACATGAAAATAAACTCAGAAAGGTTCAGCTGAACCTACCTCATACTCCTCCAGCTCCTCGATCAGGATCTAACAACACAGAGACACAGTTAGCAACGGATGCTAACAAACCTACTTATTTAGACGATTTTTAACCAGTACGACTTGCTTTTTTGTTTATCGTAGGGTATTACCTTTGCGGCTTTTTTACATGGTCCAGACTGCAGAAATCTGGCAATGAGGTAATAGAGTTCTGAAAAGAAAAACAGTAAATGAGCTTGGTACTAACTGAAGTAGCTATTGAGCGGAGCTAGCGTTAGCCAGCTCCGGGCTGCGCTCGGTTAATTAGCTCGCTACCTGGCACACAACTGGAAACAGTGTAAATGCAAAATATTTAGTCGCGAATTAAAGCAGCGGTCAGTACTCACCAGCTTCGATTTGTGAACACTGTTCTCTTGCCATCACTTGGTAAGACAGGCGACATTAAGACAAACTGATGTTTTAGCTCGCTGGTTAGCCGCCGGCTAGCTAAGAGTAGCTAGGTGTGTGTAGCTAAAACAGGCTAGTGAATGGCCTCCTCTCGCAAGTTGTTCCCATACTATCCGCTACCTTGGATTAGTGCCCTCTAGTGAATCAACACAGTACCGGACGGAGTGCTTTCTTCAGAAAGAATGAATCCATGTTACAAATAAAACTCGTTCAAATTTCACAGATTTTACACAAAAATTGAATGTTAATACTTTTCACTGGTAAGATAACATTTTTCAGGATTAATAGTTTTCAGTTTTTCAGTTTTAATATTATATCAGTTTTAATATTTTAAAGGGTAAATGTATTTTGTTATTTTTATTTATTTATTTGGGGGGGCAACAACGCTATTTTGTGAATAAAAATATTTGTGGTTTTAAATATATTGTTGTCAGTCAATATACAGTTGCAATTGTTGGAGCAATCTCACTGATCTTAATATATTTGGACATACAAAAAGTATTTCCAAAAGTTTTCAATCAGTTCATTTTCTAGTAGGTACAAATCAGTGACTGTAGAAAACAGTTATTGGTACAAATGCATTCATCTTTAATATGAGGAGTGTTTTGGTTACAGTCTCTAGCATCTGGGTGTCATTGTGGAAGAATCATCCTTGACTTTAACAGTAACAAAGAAAATATGCAGCTTGTTAAATTGTGAAATAGTATAGCATTTATTTCCACCAGCTCACCCTTGCAAGGCTGAGTTCTAAAGAGTGGGCTTGAACATCATTGCCTTTGTGTGGAGACAACGTTAGAGAGGCAGGGTTGAGAGGGTTTGGGCATGTGCAGAGGAGGGATAGTGGATACGCTGGGTAAAGCATGTTGAAGATGAAGCTGCCAGGCAGGAGGAAAAGAGAACAAGCATAGAGGAGATTCATGGATGTTTTTTGTTTAAGAAGGTTCCTAACTCAGTGAAGTGACTGGAATTATCTGCTAAACAGCCAATAAGAGCTGTTCTTAAAATGCTTAGGATGGGAGCTCTAGAAATAGAAAGCAGACTGTATCATTTTTCAACAGGTAAATATAAGAAAAGAAGATGTATTTAATTTTACAGGCTTTTAGAGGTCCATCCATCTTCATCCGCTTTATCCGGGGCCGGGTCGCGGGGGCAGCAGCCTAAGCAAAGAGGCCCAGACCTCCCTCTCCCCAGCCACCTCCTCCAGCTTATCCGGGGGAATACCAAGGCGTTCCCAGGCCAGCCGAGAGATATAATGGCTTTTAGAGGTAAATTATTGTAATGCTCCAATCACAGGTTTATCCATTCAGTGTTTTCTATAGTTTATATATAAAAACCCAGCCATTTCACTTCAGTGATAACCAGAAACAGCTCAAAGCCAGCAAACCCTATAAAGGAAGTGCCAAGTGAGAATGAGTGATGGAGGCCTAATAAAAATATTACAAAATAATAAGGCAATTACTAATAAAAATATGAATTTTTAATAAAATAATTATGTAATTCACAAATGGGAAGAATTGATGGATGATCAATATTTTTTTATATAAGGTATAGATAGAAGTCTCTGGGCACTGTGTGTGAGGTCCCAGGGGCTGAGACTCAGGTGGAGCTTTATCCATAGGAAAGCTGCTTTGTTTTTAACAGCTTCACCAAATGAACCTGAAATCTGTGTTTAACAGAAGACCTGTAAGATGTGTAGAAAAACACCTAACATTATTTGATTGATCATGGACAGTTCCTGTGATAATTAAAGTACCGTTACTGTGCCACCTGGGTAAATGTGCACATGGCTCAGATATTAGTCTACTACACTGACACAGTTCCATTAATAGCTATATTCTGACAGACATCTCACTGTGTTTGTAACAGACTCAATAGAGAAAAGTCTCTGGGCAATTCTAAGATAAAAAAAAAACTCAGTTTAGATAATTTCTGATATGTTTCATAACATGCAGCAGCAGATCTCAGAGAATGACTCGGCCTCTGTGTGGAAAGGTTTTAGGAATATCACCAACTACAAAACCTCCCACTCCACTGATGACTTGCTCTTGGCCAACACCCCCAACGACTTTTACTGCCGTTTTGACGAGCCATCAGGCAGCCTTCACACCTCCAACAATAGAGACACTTTGGACACTCATTCCCCCACCTCTCCCCCCTCCATAGAGCCATCACCACCTTCAAACACTTCACCTACAACACCCCCTCCTCACCCCACACAAAAGAGGATTTCACACCACCTCCTCCCACCATAACTCTTCATATTCATGAAGCAGGTGTGAGGAAGCAGTTTAAGAGTCTGAATGCTCGGAAAGCTCCTGGCCCAGACGGTGTGTCTCCTGCCACCCTCAGACACTGTGCAAACGAGCTGGCCCCAGTGTTTTCTGGCATTTTCAACTCCTCACTGCAGGCATGTCATGTGCCTGCCTGCTTCAAGTCCTCCACCATAATCCCTGTCCCCAAGAAACCTAGGATCACTGGACTAAATGACTACAGACCCGTGGCTCTGACATCTGTGGTCATGAAGTCTTTTGAGCGCCTGGTTCTCTCCTATCTCAAGACCCTCACGGCCCCCCTCCTGGACCCCCTGCAGTTTGCATACAGAGCCAACAGGTCTGTAGATGACGCCATCAACATGGCCCTACACTTCATCCTGCAGCATCTGGACTCCCCAGGAACCTACGCCAGGATCCTGTTTGTGGACTTCAGCTCTGCCTTCAATACCATCCTTCCAGACCATCTCCGAGGCAAGCTTTCCCAGATGAATGTGCCTGATTCCATCTGCCGGTGGATCACTGACTTCCTGTCGGACAGGAAGCAGCATGTGAGGCTGGGAAAGAATGTCTCGGACTCCTGGACCATCAGCACCGGCTCCCCTCAGGGCTGTGTTCTTTCTCCCCTGCTCTTCTCCCTGTATACCAACTGCTGCACCTCCACCCACCAGTCTGTCAAGCTAATCAAGTTTGCAGATGACACCACCGTTATTGGACTCATCTGGGACGGGGATGAGTCTGCCTACAGGAGGGAGGTTGAACGTCTGGTGTCCTGGTGCAGCCACAACAACCTGGTGCTGAATGCCCAGAAGACAGTGGAGATTATTGTGGACTTCAGGAAGCACACAGCCCCACTCCCCCCCATCATCCTGACTGACACCCCCATCACCTCTGTGGACTCATTCCGCTTCCTGGGTACCACCATCACCCAGGACCTGAAGTGGGAGCCCACCATCACCTCCGTCATCAAGAAAGCCCAGCAGAGGATGTCCTTCCTGAGGCAGATGAAGAAATTCAACCTGCCAACACAGACGATGATGCAATTCTACACTGCAATCATCGAGTCCATCCTCACCTCCTCCATCACCGTGTGGTATGCTGGAGCCACTATCAGGGACAAACAGAGACTGCAGCGTGTTGTGCCCTCTGCTGAGAAGGTGATTGGCTGCAGACTCCCATCTCTGCAGGACCTGTACACCTCCAGGACACTGGGGCGTGCAGCTCGGATCACAGCTGACCCTTCTCACCCTGGACACAGTCTGTTTGACCTGCTCCCCTCAGGCAGGAGGCTCCGGTCCATTCGCACCAGAACCTCTCGCCACAAGAACAGTTTCTTCCCCTCTGCTGTTGAACACATGAACAATAATCATATGACTGTTCCCACCACTAACACATGACCCTATGCTGTGTTCACTGCATCATTCCATGTTTGGCACCGATCACCACCTGCACTCATGTATATATCATGTATATATCTATCTATCTACTTAGCACTTTTAATTATTATTCTCATTTTTATTTTCATGTCTATTTAAGCTTAATTTATAACAGTATGTTTGCACTGAAGCACCGCAGCAATTTCCTAATGTTGTAAACCCGCTCAACATTTGGCAATAAAACCCTTTCTGATTCTGATTCTGATAAACACACCAGTATAATAAGTGCGGCTCGGCTCGTAGCAGGACTGCGTAAACAGTTTAGGATGAAGCCATAGTTTTGGTACTTTGACACAGGTGGATGGTTCGAAACTGTAAGCAATTACAGATTCGTTCATAACATCTTGCAGCAATATCTTTGTAAGGAAGGTTGTTCTCATTTGTATGAGCCACATAAAACAACAGGGTAAGAACACGTTATGGTGAAGTATGCGTCCATTTGGGTAGTAAAAGGAGATAGGAAGTACTTTTGAAAGAGGGTGTAGAGGATGTTGTGCATAGGTTAAAAGAGAGGCAACTGATCTGTTGTGGTGACCCCTAAAGGGAGTAAGTGAAAGAAGGAGAAAACCTCATGGCCTTTCTTACTTTTAGATTAAGTAACACTAAATTATGCAGTTTTACTCAAAATGATGCAGAACTGTTGAGACATATATTTTCATTATTTTATTACTGCCACCCTGGGTGAAGTTTTCTGGGCGATGCACAGTCATGTTTTACAGCCTGACATGTTTTCATGATGAGATGTTTTTGAAGCACACATTTTTGACAGACTTATGTATTTAAATAGTTCATGCGTAAACATTAATGGTATATTATTCACACGTGTTCACAAAAAACCACAGAATGTATCGGTGTTATACTGAAGCTGAACCTTGCACACAATTCCTTGAAAATCTAAAAACTGAAAAAGCTCCATTCATTGGCTTAGATAGAAAGACTCATGGAAAGGTTGAGAGCATGTCTGAGTCTCAAATAACCACCAAGGTGAGGTCACTATTTTATTTGGGAAGCTGAAAATAAATACCCTATGCTTTCCTTCTTTGTAACTAGCAAAAAATGAACAAACAAAGATCACGTATAAACTTCTTTTGAAGTTTCTCACCGTGCACGGCTGGCTGACACAACACCCATCATCACAGATCACAGCAGCAAAGCTGTGATTGTTATTGGATTTTTGAGTTGTGGCTTCACGTACTCGCTCACATACATACACTCTCAAGGTTCCCTCGTGATCTCCAGTTAAATTGAAAAAAAAAGTTCTCTTGCCGTTTGCTGTGGTTTGTTCAAATATTGCTTTTGAGAGAATTGGCAGCTTATGTTCACTTCGTCATTGTTTGAAGAGGACTCTTTGTGTGTGAGTGTGTGTTTATGTGTGTGGTTTGACTCCACGATAAAGCTTTTTATATATAGAATAACAGTGGAGGGATGGTGTAGATTTATTTCTCGTCACGTAGAGCTATGTGGTCTTTGCCCTGTTCATGAATAGCTTTTCACCGGGAAAATTATAAAGGAAAATGATGTGCGACGACTGGCAGACTCACAC